TAGCACTATCTCAAGTTCGGCTTTCAGCTCCAAAACTGCAGAAGTGCATCTGATGTCTTTTGGATGACTTCTCACTTCACCTGTTCTTCTTCTTGTTCTATTTTTTACATTTCTTCAGCTGTGGAGTTGGACTTGTCCCCAAGTCACAGTGCTTAAATAATAATAAACGCTCAAATCAATTTTTTTTCTATGCTTTCTGGAGTTTGTGCCACTGGTATGCTTGCAGTTTAAGCTATTGGGATCTTATTTTGGTGAATTTTCCTTTTGTCTGAGAAGCTTCTAAAAACTTACTGTCGTCACTTTGGTGGTAGCTCTTTCTGGTCTCTTCTCATATGGGAAGGGTTAGAAAATAATACTGTTTTATTTTTATCATGTTTTGTTCAGTTGAAACATTGGATTCATTCTTTACCAATGTGAAATCTCAGTGGGAAAATACCTGTAATTGGCATCCTTTTTGAAGCAACCATGCTGTTTTATGTAAGGAAAACTACTGACAGCTTTGAACATCACTTTCTTAGAGTGGTTTTTAATTTTAATGGCATTCCCACAAAGTCACTGTAGCTTAATAATTTAGGGTCTGAGAAGAGTTTTGTTCTCCAGTTTGTAGAACCTTTCTGCATGTAGATTGAGTAGCTGTTAGGTTAACTGTGTGGCTAAGTCCTTCCATCCATGGCCTTGCTGCTTCTCTTGTAAAGATGCATCTTGCTTTCAGACTACATATGAAGGAAATTTTCCCAAGTTCTTGATGGAATTTTATCAGGCACCTCTCCCAATGCTATGATTATATTAGTCTTTATCATCAATCTGCTAGGATAATAGTCTTCCTTGGGCACGATGGTAATGTATTTTGTAGTGCCTACAGATAATAATTTAAGGCCAAAATACTAGTTAATAAAAACCTGTCCAGTTCTGAAAATCTGTTGCTCCTAAGTTTTTTGGCATTGTAATAGGAGAACTGATCTGATAAAATTCAATCGAAGTAAACTTTATCAGGTCTTCAGCCAGAGGTTGGGAAGGGAAATGACCAAGGTGATGGAGAGGGGTACACAAAACCATGGAATGGGTTGGGTTGGAAGGGGCTGTGTAAAGATCATGTAGTTCCAACTCCCCTGTTCCTGTGCCTCACTACTCAAAGTTAAGAATTTCTACCCAACATCTAATCTAATTCTCTCCTCTTGTAGTTGAAAAACATTTCCCCTTGTCCTATCACTGTCTGCCCATGTATAAAGTGTCTATCCCTCTGTTTTGTAAGCCCTCTAAGGACTGGAGGGCTTCAATGAGGTCTTCCCAGAGCCTTCTCATCTCCATGCTGAACAGCCCCAGCTCTCGGCCTGTCTTCTTCAGAGAGGTGCTTCAGCCCCCTAATCATCTTTGTGGCCCTCCTCTGAACTTGCTCCAACAGTTTCACATCTTTCCTGTGCTGAGGACCCCAGAGCTGGATGCAGCACTCCAGGTGGGGTCTGATGAGAGCAAACTACCACATGGGCAGAATCCCCTCCCTCGACCTGCTGGCCACTCCTGTTATGATCCAGCCCAGGAAGCAGTAAACCTTCTGGGCTGCTAGCACATGTCCAGCTTTTCGTCCGCAAGAACCTGTAAGTCCTTCTCTGCAGGACTGCTGTCAGTGAGACACACTCTGTGTGTCCTCATATCTGTGATTGCTGCAACCCAGGTGCAGCACCTTGCACTTGGACTTGTTGAACTTCATGAAGTTCTTGTGGGCCCGGTTCACAAGGTTATCCAGGTCTCCCTGAATGGCATCCCATCCTTCTGTTGTGTCAGCTGCGCTGCTCAGCTTCATGTCATCTTCAGATGTGCTGAGGGTGCACTTGGTCCCACTGTCTGTGTCATTGGCACTGGTCCCAAGACAGAGCCTTGAGGGACACCACTCATCACCAGCCTCTGCCTGAACACAGAGGCATTAACCACACTGCTCTGGCCTTATCCATTCAGTCAATCCCTTGTCCACCATTCTGTGTGCCAACAGAATCTCTGGTGAAATGAAAGAAACTGTTCTTGCAGTGAGGAGTTTTCTTCCTCTGAACACGGTTACTGAGGAAGCAGGTCTACAGGTACCAGTAACCACGGTTTTCCAACTTGCTGCTACCTATTCCATGGTGATGATATCACCATGAAATCATTTAGGGCAGTTTGATTAACACTGTGATTTCTGGCATGAAATTAGTTTAATATATTGAGGACTGGAATTGTACTTACCCAGCTGGATTTGGCATCTATGTTAAACGAGCCTTTTGTGAAAAGCAATTGTAACAACAGTGGTTTAGTTTAAATGAGCTCCTGATGTCATGGCAAAACAACTACAAATTTCAGTATTTTTCATCTAAGCTACAGGTTGATAAGAGTTTCGTTCTGAGCTTTAGTAAGGGCAGGGTAAGTAGCTTTGCTTCTGTCCTGGCCATTACTCAAAAGCACATTTATGAACATTTTACACTATAAAAATTAATCATCAGACTTAAATCTGCTGGTATAAATGAACAGGAGAATCCTTTATGGAGAGTAGTAACTGGACATTTTAACTTGGACTTATGGGGCTATATCCCCTCTTGTCTTGGGACCTTTTAATGACTATTACTGCATATTGTCTACTGCTTTTCCTTCTTGGAAGATGTTTTAGTTCTGGAGGAAGGATTCTGCTCAGCAGCCTGGGCCACTGCAGTTTCTTATAATCACTTTCATCACTTCAGAGTTTATAGTCTGCCAGTTATCAGTTTTTTGATGCAAAGAAGAAAGTATACCTATAGTATTTGGTAACATTTTCCCCTAGATGGATTTGTTCTCAGTGTCTTTGCTTTGTGGTAGAGTGATCTACTAGTATGTTGCTTTGACTTGGTAGTTCCTGGGAAGTTGTTGTTTCCATTTTTGCTTCCTTGTTGACATGTTAGACAGTGAGATAAATTGTTCCTCTTCTCATTTTTATCTTAGTGTATGTTGTGAGTGACTTTGTCACTGTTTATTTGACCCTTCTACATTTTTTTTTTTGCATGTGATTGAAACATCATGCATACTCCCAGACCAGAAATTTTTAAGTTAATTCTGATGCGGATGAGGCTTTCCCCTAGCAAACTACACCCTGAATTGCGAAGTGTGAGTGTTTCTGGTTCCTCCTTTTCATCTGTCATGGCTTACAATTAGCATTTCATTTTTAAACAAACTAGCAATAACAAACCTAAAAGGATTTGACCATGCTTTTTGGAAGGTGTTTAGTCTTTTTGTCATTTTAAGGCCATAGCTGATGGCTGTTAGCCAAGGTGCGTATCCAACAGCTATACTCTGTGATATTGCTGGTTGTTAACTCGGTTTTTGGTCACAGGCTCTCAAGTAGATAAACTGGTGCTGAATACTGCCTTTCTTGGGATTTAAAGACAAGTTCAGGGGATCATATTTGTTCATCTAGAAAATGGTAATCAAGACAAAGAAGTTGTTTTCTCGGGGGAAAAAATCAGCAGAAGTAACAATAGGAGTAATAATTGTAGTACTAGTACTGTGATATTTTTCTTATCCTTTGTACTTGGCAAAATAGCAGTAACACTGAACTTCCCAAATTTTTTATAAAAAAGATCCATATGGTGTGACAAAAAAATAAAGGCAGGGAATGACCTTGGTTATTTGTTCATTAGGACTGTTGCTGTAATGTGTAAGTAAACTATAAGAAAATATTAGCAACAGCTTGTTTTACTGCATGAAATTTTTTGGTGATGAGCGCTGAAGGTTCCCTGTTACTTCTGAGAGCTTGTCACGTTTAAATCTTGTTCTGATTATGCAGTTGTCTTGCTTGGGACCTTTCTTGTTGTACAATGAATTGTGAAACTTTCTTTGTGTTAGTGGTAATAGTGAGCTGCTTTTCACAATACCTATGAATGGTAATGCAAACACACTTCTAAAAAAAAGTACTGATCCAAAAGAAACAAACCATATTTGTCTGTATAAAGTTAATTACAAATAAGTCCTTAAGGCTTATGTGCTCCATTTATTCTGGAATGCATTTTGTAGTTTATTCTGTTCCAGAACAGTAGATGTTATCAAATAGCTGGGAGTGGTCAGCAGACCTGTACCAGGAGCAGGTATTAAAATTGTGTACAACCGCACCTTTCTCAGCTTTCCTTGATTCCAGTTTGGATATAAAGAGGATATCAATAAGAAAAAATTCTGGGAAAAAAATTACTTTTTTAAATAAAATGAACAGATTCACAGAAGGACAGACTTTTATTCTTCAGAGAACTTCAGTAAAATTTGACTCATTTGTTTAAAGATGTTCATAAAGAGGCAATTGAGAAATTACTCATTTTGACTATACCTGCTTTGACAGTAAAACTGGATAAAGAACAAAAATGCAGATGTTCAATCAAATCTACACTTTGTTATTTAAGTGAGGGCTCTTTTGAACTGTGTGTTTTGTAGCTGCGTTCTGGATCTGTCGCAGAATTAGTGGCTTGCTAGCTGATGTCTTGATAAACTGTTTTAGATACCTGACTTCGCAGGAGTAGTGGCAGAGTAACCCAGTACTGTGGCAGTAACATATTGCTGAATTTCATTTGTTTCTAAAATATGTTTCTATTAGTTATATTTTCTACAGGTATTCCTCTGTTCAGCAATTTTAGCTGTGACAATGTTGTTACTGTTTTAAATTGTTACTTGATCAGATGATTTATTTAAATATTATATGTGTACATGGAATTTCTGGAAGGAATTTTCAAGCCTGTATAATAGGTGTAATGAATAAGTGCTATGTATTTTGTAGCTGGTGGAAGTGGTGGGGAAAATCTGATTGTCTTGAGTAGAGCCAGAACGGGTGAATAAAATACCTAAAAATCCCTATTTCTGATTCATATTTTTGTAGACTACTCTGTGTAACTACTTTAGACAACAAACATCAGGGTCTTGGTGGGTGAATTAAATCTTTAATACATGTATGCTACTGAATACCTAGTGAAGTCAAGAAAAGCAAATTTAACCCTGATTTCCTTTGCTTCTTCTAACAGTTGTTACTCAACCAAGCCCATCAGTTGCCCAGCCTAGTACTTCAGAGAGTGAAGAGAGAGCTGCTGAACTGCCGAAACCAAAGAAGAACAGATGTTTCATGTGCAGGAAGAAGGTTGGCCTTACAGGTATGAGAACACTTTGTCAATTTTGGACAAATCTGGGTGATTAGTTGCCTCTTGCTAGATTAAACTTGATAAATTATGTGTTCTACTAAATTTATTTGCAGCCATTCATTTTTCTTGCTCTGTATGTCAGTGTAGATGAACACACCCCCTTTGTGGTAACTATGCTCTTAATTAACAACTTTAACCTAATTAAAAGCGAATCTAGTGATGTTGCTTCTTTTTCTGTGTACAGGATTTGACTGCCGATGTGGAAACTTATTTTGTGGACTTCACCGTTATTCTGACAAGCATAACTGCCCATATGACTACAAAGCAGAAGCTGCAGCAAAAATCAGAAAAGAAAATCCAGTTGTCGTGGCTGAAAAAATTCAGAGAATATAAATTAACCTGCTTGTGAAAAGACTGACTGACTTTTTGTGGGGCTTTTTTTTTTTCAATACATCCTAAAAAACATGAAAGAGCAGGTGCATGGCCATTTTCCTTTGTTCTTCAAAATTTTACTTCTAGTCCTGTCTGTCTAAATGCTATTTCAAAATGTTTGAGAGTTTGTTACAGGCAGAATTGGATAGATACAGCCCTTGAAAATATACATGCCCTTCCCAGAATATAGTTGGATGATCAGAAAGCTGCACAGGAATACATATGCACAGAGGACATACTCTAGTTCACTTGTGCCAAACAGATGTGTGCTGTCTGCATGTATGCAGCAGATCTGCCTTTGAGATGTGCTTGAGGTATTTAATGTTTGGCTAATGTTACTGGCCTGTTTTGGAGAAGAATACATCGAAACGGTGGCAGTCTACTTCTCTCATTTAAAATCTCATTCTACTTTTAGTTTCCACACTCCATTTTAGTTTTCCAGCAGAATGTGAGCTGTATAGGAGGGTCCACCATCCCAGAAAGATGAATGTTGGTGCCATATTTAAGTCACTTAACAATTGCACTGAGAAAAATGGAAAAAATCAGATACATAGAAGAAGAAAATTGTTTTGGAAAAGATTACATTGACTTTAAAATCTTGACAAGATGTTCCCAAATGAAATGTCCTGTTAGGAGCTTATGAACTGGCCTGCAACAGAGTTGTCTGCTTTTCCTTGCATAGCTAAAAATGAGTAGCACAGTATTGTAAGATTGGTTTGCAGAATAAGGTTACATACGTTTCTAGACATACCACAGCAGCTCTATCAAGCAACACGGGTCTAAATAAGTTGCTGAAGTATTAGAGCAGTTTATTATTCATATACTACTTCTGTTCTGTGTGTTCCGAGTTCAAAAGAATATTAGGAGTTAATTTTTCTAGTTTTAAATGTAACAGTTGCACCATTCTGCATGGAAAACCATACCCAACATGGCTGCTGTAGTGGTAGCTGGAACCACTCTTGGAGGGCTGCTTTATCATTTTTAATTGTACTTGGGTATAGGACTGTAGTGTTCTTGGGTGTATTGCATGGGCTGCATTATCTATGGCATTGTACAATAACAACTCTAGAAAAGGCAGTATTCTTCACTGATGCTTGTCTGGTAATATATATCACTTCTGTGTTATAATGGAAGGGGGTTTTGTGATGTACGAAACTTGTGTTTTTATATAAACAAATACAGTTTTAGACTAGTGTTGTGATAATGCCTGTTCCCATCTGTAAATAGTTACGTATGTACACAAGGCGCTACTTCTGACCTTCTGATTTTTATTGCCAGTGTTCAGTCTTAGTTTTTACTTCACTATTAAAAGTGTCAGGTTTTTGCTTCTAACTTTTGTTCTTCTGAGTTATTAGATATGCAAACATGTACAGATAGTTCTTATTTATGTATTGCACATAAGCTACCCAGCATCTATGCTATATTGTATTATGTAAATAATAAAAATAATGTACAGAAGGAAATACTTCCTTTTGTGATAGTTCATTGGTTTTAATTATTGCTGTAATGAGGATATGACCTTGTAGAAGTTGAGGTGCAAAGTTTATACTGAGTTCTTTCAGATGTTGCCTTTATGCTTTAGCCTGCCTTATGTCCTTATTTCTTATTTGGATGGACCAACTTCTTTTGAGACAACTTTCATGAGCAACTGGAGTACAGGTAACTACTTGATGGCCTGACAAAAATGCCAGCAAACAGTGTGCTTAAAGGGAGCAAAGGACGGTATTAGCAATGAACTTCAAACTTATTTCCAGTGGATCTGTTATGATAGAACCAGTGTGCTGACTACATCATTCTGTCCACATCTCACCAGCAGACCTGGGCAGAGTTACTGTCAGTGTCAGCAGCCAAATAGAAACGGTAAATATGCCCGATTTATTCTTCCCAGTGGGAAGAAAAAGGACACAGTACACAGCATGTGTTGCCATGGAGGAAGACATCTTCACTACTGGATTTTGCACAAAAATTGCTTGTATCAGAAATGGATAATGTGTATGCCACAAGTCAGCTGATAGTCAACATAAGTTAATACTCCAGCCGCTGTGTATACGTCCAATAAGGAAACACAGGCATGCTCGGGAACTTCATTTTCCTGGATGAATTTTAGGATGTCATGATGGAACTGCTTTAAAGCACTAAAGTTATTTTTCCACCTTTTGTATTAAAGCAATATCAGCAACTCCACTACAGCATAGAATGTTTTTCTCTTTTTCATCCTTCTTTATTCTTCCCTTCTGAACCTGAGAATGCCCTGTAACTGGATATTTGAGGAGACCTGTCTGGTTTTGATACTGTCTTGGCTAGAGTGGTTTAGGACAGGTAATAGTACTGATACTGTTAGGTAATGATGATGATAGTCTCAATCTCATGGTCTGCATTTTTCTGTACAAATCGGTCGTTGTGAACTCTTGTTTAAATATTTAATCTTGGTACATCTGTACAGGAAAGTATGAAATGAAAAATCCCTCTTTTAAAATTGTGAACTGTATCGTGTAAATTACACTTAAGAGGGGTATGAGCCTGTTCTCAAAACTAAGTCTGCAAGCTCCGCGGAGCTTTGTTCTTTTGATAGTGTATATAGTGTGTATAATCACTCAGGAGCTCTAATTCTGTTGATGCTCACAGAACAAAGGAGGGGAAGATTGTTTAAAAAGAGCAGGTAGTGACAAAGTGTGTGGAATGGGGCAGGGGGGAATGTTTAAACTTACGTGGTACATCTTCCAAGAGAGACCTAATCGCTTCACATATCATTAATCCTCATTTAACATTTGGCTGTTAGACTGAGATCTTCTTAACTCATATATAAACACACTGTTCTGGGAAGAGTCTTCCTCTGTTCCAAACAACTTTACCAGATGATCGGGACTTTTTTACATAAAAACAAATGAATAAGTGAAAACAGGTGATGAAAAATGGATAATCTTCAATCTGAAATACTTGCCTAACCGTGTTATGGCTGTGCAATACTGTGTTCCACAGGATTCTGAACAAGCTTACTGACAACTTACTGTTGACCTCAAATTTGGAATCTAAAGATGACCTTGTGGTTCCAGCCTGTTGCTGCAAAGCTCATGAGCTCCCAGATGATGTGGTTGGTTGTGATGCTTAAGGATGCCATGGGGTCAAGAAGCCCTGACTACCTTCATGATACTTAGCCCTTTGGAACCATGCTTCTGATCATTGTTTACTCTGTTTTGGAAGGTGATTGTTCACAGGTGTAAGGGAGTGTCTTAGTTGCTTTTATGTCATGTTTATCAGTCACTGAAAGGGTACTTCAAGGATTTGACTCATGTCTGGTGTCTGTAATGAGTCAAAACACAAAATGCACGTCAGTTTCTGGGTGTTCCTAAGCTGTTCTACAATATCATCTGATGTGTATGCTTGAAGGAGGAAATGTACAGCAAAAAGGAAATTGGATTGTTGTAGGTATCTGGGTGTGTTAAGCAGCTATGATTCGGTCACAAAAGGAAATTTGTTTTCTGTATAGATGTGTTCTTTTTATGTGTGTTTCATTAGTTTCTCAGCCAACCAGAAATGACAATTTCTCACAAATGACCTATTACTGACTCCCTCAATCATTTTTTGTTATTAAACACCTAGGATATTTGCTGGATTGCACTCTGATTTGGGAGACACAAAGGATTCTGGCGGTACACGTGAAAGTACCTGGATGACATTGAAATTAATAAATGACAAACCTGAACAGTTAAAAAACTTGAACTGGAAAAATAGTGAGAGTGGCTGTATGCGGAAATGTTAAAGCATAATCCAGGAGCAGAATCTGTAGTGAGAGTTAGTTATCACCACAGAGTTTTAAATGCCATTTTACAGACCTGAGTTATCCCTTAATCTACTGTAAACACTTCACAGAAAGTACTTCAGCCTTTAAACTGCCTATTTTAGAAGTAATTTAGTGATGGCAAAAGAAGCAGGGTTGGAGTTTGAGGGGTTTTTTTCACTGACCATTTCTGCTTGAAAGGGCTCATCAGCCTAATAACACAGAACCAAGGACCAGATTTCTGATGGTATGAAGAACTGAATTCTGTAGGATGCAAATTAGCAGAATATCAGAACCCCATGATTTAAATTAAATTAAAATAAAGGTAAAGATGGCAACACTGAAATGCAAGAATCAACACCCAAAATGGTAATGAAAAACACTGGCTTGACTGTTAATTTATGTAGGTAAAATCTTTACAATTTAAAAAAAAAAGTTGAAATTGAAATTATTAGTGTCATAGCTTCCTGAAGAATCTATGTCTCACTCACCTTTTCTACTACATGGTAAGATGTAGATGACAAATTCTTTTTTCAATGCCAATTTATTTCAGTGTGTTTCTCACGTCAGCTCATTGTAGCAATGTGGGAGGTTGGGTTTCTCAGGTGAGTCTTACTTTGGCTCAAACCTGCTAAGTAAGATATTTGTATCTTTATTAACCCCTCTTGTAGTACTAGCTCTTTTCTGCCTGTATCTACAACCAGCTCACGGTGTTTATTCCCAAGCAGCAATATGCCTGCTTATCACAATCTAAGGTTTATTCATTATGGAGAGAAAACAAAAAATAAATGGGATAAATATATCTACTCTTGTACCTGAGTACAAGCATGCAGGGTTGGACTTTGATGATCATTGCAGGTCTCTTCCTACTCAGAATATTCTGTGATTCTCTGATTCTATATTGTGTAATGAGTCCTGGCTCAAGGCAGGTTAAGTCTGACCATGGGCTCCTGAGAGGACTGTAGAGTGAAGTGCCTCCCTCTCTGTAGGCATTTTACAGGTTACCTATAGCCTGAACTCTCCTCCTCCTCCTCCTTCCAAGTTGGCTGCCTCTAATGCTAAACGAATACCATTGCTGTATGATGCTATTTTTGACCCATACACAAGTGACAGCATCTCTCAGCTATGTTACTATGACTGTAGAGCAAATTCTTACTTTGTTTTGTTTTGCATAATGGTTATGCTTTTTTTTTTTTAATATGTATAGGGGGTTGTATTGTATCAAGGAATTTTGTAGGTGAAATATAAAATGCCTTCATCTTTTTCATTTTTCTTCCCAGTTAACAGTCTGTACCGCAAAGGATTCAACTGAATACAAGGCTGATACGTAGTAATTACACTGACCTTCTCTGTTTAAGACTAGCCCGAATATCACTGTAACGTTCCTTTCTCTATTGAGACCAGAGTCATGTTTGCTACATGAACCATCAAAACTGGCATGCCTCATGAAAAATGTTGAAATCCAAGAAAAGAGTTAGAATCACAGACTCCATAATAGCGAAATGTATTTGCCTAATTGGACTCAAGACACCTTAGCTGCCCACTGAACCATTTGCTAAGCTACTGCAAAATGTGGCTGCATCTGAATTAGTTTTACTGCCCGCCATACCCATAGCCAGCCATCCTCACCATGGTTTGAGTAGGGAAAAATCAACAGTTTTAAACTGCTTTGTTTGGGGGTTTTACCAGGATTTTGAGATCGTTTTGGTAGGGCTGTGAGCACTGTTGATGGTAAGGTATTTTTAGCCTCATCCTGATCCATGTGTTTCTAGGTTCTTCCTATAGCGCCTTCCAATGGTACATTAATGAAATCAATATAAATGAAGGCAACATGACCTAAAAAGTATAAACTGAAGCCATGATTCACCACAGGGCCCTGCTCACTGCAGAATTTTTTTGTCAGCATCATGTTTCCACTGTGATCATATCTGAGAGCAGTGCTAGTAACACCGAGGTCACAGGTTCGATTCCTGTGTGGGCCATTCTCTTAAGAGAAGGACTCCATGATCCTTCTGGGTCTCTTCCAACTCAGAATATTCTGTGATTCTGTAAAAAACCTTATTAGTCCCTTTATCCAGTGTCTGAAAGGTGCCATTAGATGTTAACTGGGCCCATTTAGAGATGTGTATTTGGACTTCCCTTTATTGGTTTTATTTTCAGATTTCATTGATAGTGGTCTTGACCTGTAGTTAACGTATTTTGTTGTCTGAAAAGCATTTTGGTGGTGATGTTTTTTCAGCTTGTTGGTGTACTCTTATGAAAGAGGTGTTAAAAACACAAAGTGTTTGCCAAGGTACTGGATAGCAAACATATAGGTGAAGAAATGCTCCCTATAGTTCAGATCTTTCACCTTCGGAGACCTACAGTGCCCACCTATAGTATTTTTGCCTGATTAGTTTCCAATATAGGAAGGCAGAATAAAGTCCCACTGTGAATCTTCACTTGGTAGTATCATTGAGATTGTAGCACAGATCTGAGGAAAATAAAAGCAATTTAATTCACTGTTCCTCATTCCTGTTTATGTACTCTTTACCATAGTGTACATTTTATGTTGTTTGAAACCCACCCAACCTGTGTCATTTCCTGATGAGCATTTTCCTTGAGCAGCCAGCATTTTTAGATTTGACTGAAGTTTCCTTTGGTAGGTTTGTGAGATGTTGGATACATGGTGACTATACCCTGAGT